AACGCCAGTCGGCGTGGAGACCTCAACATCAACATGACCTCACCCATGGGTACCAAATCCATCCTGCTGAGCCGCCGGCCCCGAGACGACGACGCCAAAGTGGGCTTCGATAAGTGGCCCTTCATGACCACACACACCTGGGGCGAGGACCCGCGGGGCCCCTGGCTCCTGGAGGTGGGTTTCCAGAGCCAGAGCGACATGCAAAGCGGCCTGCTGAAAGAGTGGACCCTCATGCTGCACGGTACACAAAGTGCCCCTTACATAGACCAAGTGGTGCGGGACTATCAGTCCAAACTGGCCATGTCCAAAAAAGAGGAGCTGGAGGAGGAGCTGGACGAAGCCGTGGAGAGAAGCTTGAAGAGCCTTTTGAGTAAAAATAACTAGCCATGTGCATGATGATGATTATTACTATCCTCTGTGTTAGCGTGTAATCCTGGCCAGCTTTCTAATTTATTCGTTTTTTTTTTCCTGTGATGATTTGATGAATGTCTGACGTCATGTTGAAGCATACAATGCAGTGGATCTGAAATGCATTTGGACACTTAAAGGGGTAGTTCACACACACATTTATTTCAGTTTTACACTGAAAAAAATATTCATTGGATTTACTAATTTTTTAAAATGCTTTTAAGTGGTTGCAAACAATTGATATGGGCTGAATTTTAACAGACAAATTAAGTTTAGTAATGTTTAACTTCATTTATTTCTTTTATTTTAACCTATATAAATTGTTTGCAACCACGTACACTTCTTTCAAATGTCTCAGATAAGTTTATCGTACTGCAGTAGAACTGCACAATGGCTGTGAAAACCGTTTGGACCAACCCAGGCTCATTCTGAAAACGTACCCCTAAATACATTTCTGGAGAGCGCCAAATATGTCCCAGGAGCTACATTTTTTTTGTAGACACGAATCCACCAGAGGGCGCTGTGTACGCTTTTTCAGATCTTAAATTTCTCTCTTGAGTTGCATTTACTCCTGCTGTTCTTTCATTAATCCACCAGAGGCCGCTGTCGACTGACTGACCGACTGAAATTATTTTAAAAAATCATCGATTCACTCTTTACTTGCTCCAAATGTCAGATGTGAGCTCATCATTTTGAAGTATAACTATACTGTGGCACTCAAAACCATTCGGACACTTAAAGGGTTCACACAGAAACATGCATTCATTCACACTTTACACTGGAAAATATGAGCCTGTGTTGGTTTGGACACTTAAAGGGATAGTACACAACAAATATTCATTTATTTACACTTTGATTCATAGTGCATTATGTGCACTCTCAGAAAAAAAAGGTACAGGAGCTGTCACTGGGGCAGTACCTTCTAAAAAGGTATAAATTTGTACCTGAAGGGTCCATAATGGTACCTCAAAGGTACTTTTTAGGTACATTTGGGTACTAATGTGCACTTTTTAGGTTCCACTGTGGACTCCTTGGATACAAATATGGATCTTTCGAAATGGTGCCCCAGTGACAGCTCCTGTACCTTTATTTCTGAACGTGGTTGCAAACAAGTATACTTGTTCCAAATGTCTAACATGAGTCTGTCAAATTGAAGCATAACCATATACAGCAGCTCTGAAGAGCTTTTGGACACTTTAAACGATAGCTCACACAAAAATGGTGTTCATTTATTCACACTTTAATTTATTCACTAATTTAAGGTGAGTGGTTGCAAATGATTTATATGGGCTGAATTTAAACAAACAAATTAAGTTGAACATCGCTAAATCAAATTTGTTTAAATTCAGCTCATAAAATTGTTTGCAACCATTCGCCTTAAAGTTTAATAAATGCTTAGTTTAATAATATTTTTATAATATATTAAAGTTTAGTAAATGCAATGGATACTTTTGTCATATTGCAGTATAAAGTGGCTCTGAAAACCAGATAACTCACACAAAAAAAATCATTTATTCACTCTTTACTTGTTCCAGATGTCTGATGTGAGGCTGTCTTATGAAAGTAAGATCACACAACAGCTCTCAAAACCATTTGGATGCCTAAAGGGATAGTTCACACACAAAAAATATTTATTCACACTTATTTATTCATTAATTTTTGAAAGGTAAGTGGTTGCAAACTGGACTTTAAACAAACTAAGTTGAACATAGCTACATTTAATTAGTCTGTTTAAATTAATGTCATTATCAATTACTTGCAACCTTTTCCCTTACAAAACATTAGTAAATCTAACTAATCATATTTTTTGTCATATTGAGATATAATAATAATACAGTGGCTCTGAAACGCACTAGGACACTTAAAGGGATAGTTCACAGAAAAATAAAAACTTCATTACTTAATTATTTAAATGATGCAAACTGTTTTTTTGTTTTGTTTTTTGGCTTCATTTAAGCAAATATAGCTTAACATTATTAAATTCTATTTGTTTATATTATTGTCCAAATAGAGCATAAGTAACAATGTCTAATAACACAAACAGTCAATGACATACTCACAAACAAGGAGGGAAATGAGGTGGTATAAAGAGTAAAAAGGAAACGAGTGACAGGTGGAACAAATGAACCCAAATGACATGTGACTGCAAATAAAAGCAGATGACTAGCAATGATCTGTAACAAAGAGAAACAGGAGGAGAGAGAGCAGAACTGTCAGGTATAGTGACAATTTGTTTGCAACTTACCTTAAAGAAATTGAGTAAATCCAATGAATCATTTGCAACAAGTACACTTGCACTGACGTATGACCATATACAGTAGCTCTGAAAAGCATTTGGACACTGAAAGGGATAGTTTACACACACACACACACACACACACACACACACAAAAATGTATTCATTTATTCACTCTTGTTTCAAATGTCTGACTTGAGTTTGTCGTTCCAGTTTAACCGTGTACGGTAGCTCTAAAAACCCTTTGGATGCTTCAGGGGACAGTTCACACACAATTTCATTCATTCACTCTTGTTGCACACAGCATGTTACCATAGTAACTCTAGAATGACAATTCATTCAACTTGAACTGATCTGTTGTGGTGACTCTGTAGTTGCCATAGTAAAACAATAAGTTACCATAGCAACTGAAAACTCACCACAATAGAGCCATTCTACTCGAACTGAACTATTGTGGTGATTCTATAGTTGCTATAGTGAAACAGTATGTCACCATAACAACTGTAGAATCACCACAATAGATTCTTTAGTCACTATAGTAAAATAGTGCTACCGTAGCAACTGTAGAATCACCACAATAGATTCTATAGTTGTTATAGTGAAACAGTATGTTACCATAGCAACTGAAGAATCACCACAATAGATTCATTCTACTTGTGGTGATTCCATAGTTGCTATGGTGACACTGTTTGACTGTAGTATGTTTCAAAGCACTACTGTATTTACTATAAATGACGACAGTTTTTATCTGGATTGATTCAGATTTGAAAGCGTGACTCGAGTGTCCAGATGTGTGTTTTGATCTCACTGTGTGTCCCACTAAGAATATCAAATTCTACATTTTTTTTTTTTTTACACTTTACAGAACTGTATATAAAGCAAATACATCTCGACTTTATTATGTTCACGCTCTCCCGCACCTCTGCTGTACAGTTTGTGACTGTAAATCATTTTTGTGTGATTCTTCTTCTTCTTAAAGTTTAGTATCTTGCAAACAAAGACGTGATATTTATTTCTGTATGTGTTTCTTTCTATGGTTTTTTATTTTGCCTTCTGAAGAGATGGACTGTGTGTCATTATACTGCTTATGGCCAAACAAAACAAGCATATTTCATAGCACTGTCTATATATAATAAATCTATTTAGCTGTTTGTTAAAGCACCTGAGTGATTACCACAATAATGTTCCCTTTTTGGTTCGGGTGATACGAACGTCTTAGTTATTGTGATGCAAGAAGTCATTCAAATCTATAAAATACACTGTTTTTGTGTGGGTAAAATCAGTGTACAGTGTAGAAAGTGATTAAACCCGTTGCCTTAAAGTCAAGAAGTTGACTTAAAAAAATAGTGAGTAAAGCTGTTGTAACTTAGAACTGTTCAGTAGATTTAACATACATTTTTAGAAATGATGCATATTCACATAATTTTTTTTAAGGCAACAGGCAAACAAGCACAAAACCGTCTTGTTTTTAGAAATAATCAACTCAAAATTAAGTGTTTTTAAGTAAAACAAGCAGAATAATCTGTAAAATGAGATGAGCGAAATTATCTTGTCAACATAAAAAACACGATTATTTTTCTTCCATTTTTTTTCCAGATTATTTTGCTTGTTTTAAGGAAAAAACTCACTTTAATTTCGACATTATTTCTTAAACTAGACAGTATTTTGTACTAGTCTAGAAAATTCTTCTTGATTTCTGAATTTTTAGATATTTAGACTAGAAACGAGACCAACTTAAAGTAAGAAAATTTGTCTTTTTTGTTTCTAAATGAAATAAGTAACACAACTCAACAAACACACACACTTTTCCTACGTTTGATTTCGATGTTTATTTGGTTTATTATTTGATACACGTCAAGACTGCTGATCAATGCCGGAATCCTGAATTGAACACAATATAGCAAATAAAACTCTAAACATTTGCTGTATGAGCTGAGGGTGAGGGAGGGTGATTGTGTACATGTCAATCAGGGTGTAGCTGAATGGCTCCGTTCCAGAACCTAGTGAGCTAGCTATATAGGCAGCATTTTAGGGCATCAGGTGTGCTCCCGATGCTAAACTGGCAGGAAGATTTCCACTTACTGCATTTGAACATAGCAGGATTTAAAAGTGGCAGCATTGCAAATAAGAAGGCAATTCCTGAGGGGGGAAAACCCATCGAAGATGTTTGACAAAACAAGGGGAAATCCAGAATAGAAAATAAAACTTAAATAGCTCAAAGGGGTAGTTCACACTAAATAAACTCTGTGTTCTTGTACTCATCTTGTTCCAAACATGCTTGAGTTTCTATTTCTGCTAAACACAATGTGCTGAACATTGCTGGAGGGAAAGTCATTGACTTCCATAGTATTTCTTTTGTGTGAATGTCAATGGCACCCAAACATTCTTCTGAATATCTTATTTTGTGCTCATAAATTGTGACAACCACCTGAGTCTTTGTAAATGACGAGGGGAATTGGCATTTTTGAGTGAACTGTCCCTTTAACAACGTTAACACCACACTATTTTCGTGAACTCGTGAATTGTAGAGCACTTAAAATCCGACACTTATTCTGAAGTTGTGTTTGTGTAGCACTAGCAGGCAGCTTGCTAGGTTTTGGAATAGAGCCTGTGAATCCAATTGAAACTGGCCATTGATGTTCTCCTGCTTTGATTCTTGCTGGGTTCACACCAGACGCAAAGCCCAATCTCATGATGTTTTAAGCAATGTCAGAAAAGTTGCTAACTCTTGGGATTTCAT